ATCTATTGAGCAAGCCAATTCAAATCACCATGGACTGAGGAGAGCAGTAAACCTTAAAAGTAGATAAGTGATCAATCTATGGTTGACATACATGCTCTCTTTATATAGCTCCCTACATTTCACGATGATGAACTCATGTACTCTGTAGGAACTATCTGGCTGCTTCAATGTCTGGGTTGTGTCATTAAGTCCTGAACTCTATGCACTGGAAATTCTATTGATTGTCTTGATATTTATTTATATATCTATGTATATGGTGAACTTATTACATGCAGAAATTTTCATGGCTGACATGGGTGTCCCTGTTTTACCATTTTAAATATCTAGTTTGTATGTCTGTGTGATTAATAAGTGTAATCTGTGTTAACATGGCTATGATAGTATTCTATCATAACCTGTGAGCTACCTTTTTATAGTAGTGGGGGTATCCAGCCAAGTGTGCCTAAGAATATGATGTATTTTGTAGTGGCGGAGTTGCCCTACTCCTGAAATAAGTTGAGCGTATATTGGCCGCGGGATATCCATTAGACCAATACGAGTCAGCAAATCAACATTATTATTTCAGAGGGCTGTTGGTTCTTAAGGAGAAATCCTTTAATCAGGCACGCGACATGAGCGGTATGTGACAGTGTGTGCGAAATCTAAAGCTAAAATTGAAAATGGATGCTAACAAACATGTACAACAAAGATCAGGTAGTCTATAACTGCGCAAAAAAAAAAAAAAAAGCAAGAGAAGAGTTCCAGCTTGAACAGAAAAACAAAAGCTATATGAGGTAGCTGCAAGAGATCAGAGCACAGAAGACTCGTGGAATAAGGTAAACAGGATAATGTTTGAAGCAGCAACGATTTTGACTTCGCTGCTTATGTCGTCCTCTTCTGGTGCCGCCTGATGCGATCGAATCTCCGTATCATAGCATGGCACGGCCCTGAAGCCGAAACTAGCCGTAAGAGCATTGTCTGGAATAAACAATATCACATTTACAAAACATCCACAGTAGAAGGCAGAAGCCTTCTTTGCGCGGATATTTAGGAAAAGTCAAACCTGATGTAACCTGATCAAGTCCAAATGGGGAAAAAAAAAGAAATAATAAAAAAGGGGGGAAAAAAGAGGGGGGGGGGGGGGTGAACAAGATAATTTCAGGTTTCTGAAATTTTACCGGAAGGGGACACTCCTTCCAAACAATAACTTTCCCTCCTCCTTTCGCAGCACAATTCTAGTAGGTAGAAGACTCTTCTCAGTAAGGTAAAGTCAGTGACATGTTCATCTGATTGCTTTTGAATTAATGTATTTAGTGCTTTATTAATATCCTACCCCAACCAGAGGAAATCTACAGGTCACCGGACAGTCTAATATTTCAGGGGGGTGGGGGGTGGTAGATAGGCTGCCGTGGGACATAGGTTGAATGCAGTCGTGAGACTTGGGCTGCTCTCTCTCTCTCTCTCTCTCTCTCTCTCTCTCTCTCTCTCTCTCTCTGGACATAGGTTGATTGTGGTTAGGGTCAGTTCTTGATGTTTTGGGGTCGTTAAAAGCATCAGAAAACCGGGAAACCCAGTCTTATTAACCTGTAAAACGTTGGACTGTCCTGTGACGTCAACTTGGGTAAGATATTATTAAAGAACCATGTATTTTGTATGTATTATGATTTGTATGTGTTAGCCAGTGTTAACATTATTTTATACAAATCATTGCATGTGAAATATGCTAATAAGTATCGGATTTTGTTTTCCAACGAAACGGATTAATCCTTGTCTCTTTTGACTCTATTAAAAGTAGGGATAGTACAATGCTTGCGCTTGATGTTGAGCAGAAGAAAAGATGGATAGTTATTGCTGAGAGACTTTAGACCTAGTCCTCGGGAACGAGTATATTGTGACGAACAGTCAAGAATCAATATTCTTCTGTCACATCGCGAGAGAGAAAAACTGTCAGTAACGGGAAATTAGGAGTAAAAGTATGCATAATATGACAGCGAGAGAGAGAGAGAGAGAGAGGGGGGGGGGAGAGAGATATATAGATAGATAGAGAGAGAGAGAGAGAGGAGAGAGAGAGAGAGAGAGAGAGAGAGAGAGAGAGAGAGAGAGAGAGAAACGATACTGTGCAGTTTGTGGGCAGTCACAACTATCAAAGCCACGCAACATAGTCTATTTTGAAATTATTACTCAATGGCCATCCTGCGTCACTTGTATGTGTCAAATATACAGCAGTTTCCAAACCTCCAGTAAGAGCTTTTACAATGAAAGCTTTTGCAAGTCTCTGGAGAATGGTTGTATGTTTTGAATGGATTCTCTATCTCTGAGTGGCCTTTACGTTCAACACAGTTTCATGTATGAGACTTCTCTCTCTATCTTCCGACATCTCGGCTCTTAGCTTCTCAAGTTATTTTATTTCTATGACTGCGAATCTGCACTCTAGCTGTTTTAATATGTGCTTCCTGTTTATGGTTATTTTGACAGTAGGTTTATTTTATCTGAAAACCCACGTGTAACCTTATGTATAGTTATATCCCTGTTCGTGTTTTAGTAGTGTGATGGGGGTCCTTACCCGAACAGACTGCACGTAAATTGGGCTGGTGAAGTAGCCCTTACGAATGTCCTTATTTGAAGGTTCAACATGGTATCTGGGATCTGCCTTGTTCGTCTGTCATTCATACTGAAACTTTTTACTTCAAACCTCAAAGTGGTAACTCTTCATGTAGAATCCGGAATCTTCGATCGATCGACTTTATTAATGATTGCTTTCAATCCGCAACGTCCAATGTTTCTGTCATGGTTACGTTTTACTGGAAAGCTGACTAGTTATGCTTATCGTTTGGTTTGATTTTCGTGTGTGTGTGTGTGTATTTGTGTGTGGTGTGGTGTGTGTGTGGTGTGTGTGTGTGTGTGTGTGTGTGGTGTGTCTGACTAGTTATGCTTATCGTTTGGTTTGATTTTCGTGTGTGTGTGTGTGGTGTGTGTGTGTGATGTGTATGTGTGTGTGGTGTGGTTTTTGTGGTGTGTGGTATGGTTGGGTGGGGTGGGGTAGGGTGGAGTGTTGTGGTGTGGGGTGGGGTGGGGTGGTGTGAGGGTGTGGTATGGTTGGGTGGGGTGTTGTGGGGTGGGGTAGAGTGGGGTGTATATGTGTGGTGTGTGTGTGGTGTGTGTGTGTGGTATGTGTGTGTGCGCGTGTGTGTGCGCGTGTGCACATGTGTGTGTCTCTCTCTCTCTCTCTCTCTCTCTCTATAATAGGAAGCAATATTCAGTTTTCAAATACTGGCTGGCATCTTTCAGCCTTTCTCTGTGACAGCATGTTCCAAAGCGCCGTAAGAAGGCACTGGAATTCACGGTCCATGGCAACGATGTGTGTGCCTAGCAACACCAGCTAGCGATAAATATTCCACAACAAGTGTATGAGATTTCACGAGGAGTGTTGATGTCACATGTATTAGGTTTCTTCTCAGGCAGTTATCTCTTAAACAGACTGGAATCTTGTTATCTTCTATAACTATTCGTTGCCTAATTTCTCCCTGCATACAATTAGATCCAAGCAATCGTGTCCCAATGAATCCACCTAAACATCTATTGACCCGTTTGCACACATCTTTAAATCGCAGTAGTTGTCGATCTCGACATCTTGTCTTTCCTAACGTTATATAGAGAGCAAGAGGAAGGCCGTAGAGAAGATGGGTGTAGGATGTGACGGATGGTCTCCAGATGGGTATGTCGGACGCTAAACATCTTGCTTGTGATCAAGAAATTTTCTGGAGGGTTGCTATGGGTGCAAGGTTCTGCAAAGGAAATGCTACTCACTGCCTTAATATAGAAACAAACAGCACACATGTTGTTAACTTTATTAGACATGGCACGAAGTCACGTTTGACTATTTGTTTTAAAACAAAGTCGTGATATTTGTTTGAGAATTTTAATAAATCATTACTCAAAAACACAATAAAGAATTTCAAATTTGTCTGAAAGTTGGATGCAAATTATACAACCACCACCAAGTATTCTTGAATAAAATAGAAACGGCTATTTCATATTCAGTTTGCGAATTTTATAAATCAATAATTTTAAAGTTAGGGATATATTATATAAGCAGATGAAAAATTAAAGAAGTCTATCAAGCATGTCGCAAAAGGCGACTATTTGGAGATTTGCTGAAATAATCAGATTTGCTAGTACGAAATGCCAAGATACTGCAGCCTAGCTGTAAACCACAACACAAGGTGCCAACAGCTTTTTTTTTCAAAAACGAACACAGAAGTATCTTTGTCTAGATTTCGTAATATATGCTTGGAAGATGAAACATTGTAGGGTCTACAATTTAGGTTTTTAAAACTAAATACAAAAATGACGAGAAAATACCAAACCTTAAGAAAAGTTATCGATTTATACTGTATGTTTGAACATTTTGTTCTATTAAAAAATATTCATAATAATAAAAAGAGTGAGATTAAAAGAAAAATTCTTGAACTTTTAATATATATTGCAAACAGTGTGTTTTCTAGTAAATACGGTACTAACGAACAATGCCGAGATTAGACAGAGAGATTACTACTTTACACTGTATGTTCCAACAGTTTATATTGTTAACAACTTTCATTGAAATAATAACAGGGATTAAATTTTAAACAAAAGAGGGGGGGGGGGGGGTAGGGGGAGATATATTCTTTAAATTTTCTATTTTTTAAAGATATTAAATACGGTAATACCAAGAATAACGAGTTCTGACAAAGTGTTTATTACTGTATACGTTATGCTCCAACAGCCTTTATTTTAGCGGAAAATATAGTTATAAACAGAAACATAAGATTTAGGAAGTAAATTGTTACAATTTTTAATTTGCTCATAATTTAAAACTTTTTTTTTTAACAGTACGTTAAAAAAATTTACGATGTGAGGAAAATATTCTTTCTTTATACTATATTTTTCAACAGCATGTACAAAACTAAAGAGAATAATAATATATGACGTAGCTCTTGCTTGTAAATGAATTTCTGAATAAGTTTTTTCTCTATTAGTGTCTACGAAAAAGCATTAAGAAATTCCTCACAACTTATTTTATTATCTCCACTTGGATCTGCGCTTTTGAAGATTTCGTCGATCTCAGTGTCCGTAAACTTGAACTTGCATTCCTCGAAAACCTTCTTGAGTTCTTTTCTGTCCAGGAAGCCACTTTTGTCAGCATCGTGCTGAACGAAGAGTTGCCTACACTCCTCGACGCTGCGAAAATAATGATATATACACAGATCCATGAAAATAATGATATGTGCACAGATGCATGAAAATTGTGACATGTACACAAATGCATGAAAATAATTATATGTACACAGATGCATTAAATACGATAAAATATCGAAAGGGAAGAAATATGCACCAAGGTAGGTACAGAAAATCCCATAGCAGATTAGTATCTAGGCACAATCAATTCACAAGTCGCGTCATAAGCAGATAACTTTTTTACCAGTACACTGTAAAGGATATCACGTTATATTTTCATCCCTTTAGCTTCGCCGTTGAGAGTACGCGTGCACTACCAGCATCGCAGTAGTAGTAACTGGTAGCTTTCAGGCGTTAGCGTTACTGTGTGAGAACTGTTATTAGGCATTATCTCAACACGGTTGAACTTAGTTAAGAAAACATTTGAGACATTCCCATTAGCGCTTTATCCCTGTCTTCAATGGGCAAAGCAGAGTAATCTGATTATATGTTCTTGACTTTCCACTGAGCGTTTAGCCAGATTCCCTTGTTACTTCCCACTGCACCCTTCTCTTCTCACTGTTAATCTGTGTGTGCCTTAGCATTGTTCACCGACTCCCACTGGGTCGTGGTAACATCTAGCTTGTCATTCATCAATGTACCATCAAGTGGTGCATACCAGCAATCGACCTTCTTTTTCGTTTCCCAACATTCCTGTACTACCTGGAAGAAATATCAACAGGACGCTAGCGATCCAGGATCTATGAAGCAATCCTTGCTTGACTGAGAAGACCTAAACAATATATAAGGCCACCTATCAATAACGTGAACAAAAAAAAAAAAAAAAAAAATACTTACAACTCTTCAAGCTTTTTTAAACCAGCACAGAATTCCTCATATGAGATTTTTTTGTCACCAGCGCCCGAATCCATAAGCGTGAACAGCTCCTGTTTTAATTTAAAGAGTAAAGAACGTAAACATTACTGAGAATAAACAACTCAATACATTGGAACATTGAACTGGCGCACCACAACCAACAACTCTTGGGAGAATGGAGTTTGTGTTAGCGTGCTAGCACATTATAATTCTTGAGATTGTGCTCAGCCGGTTTAAGCCTTGTTTAAGTACCCAAAAATAATAATATTAATAATTATAATTATTATCCTGTACTGAATGGTAAATAAATACAATCATATTTTTGAAATGATATGGAATAGGTGGTTTGTTCGACGTTAGTCTCCCTAAACAGAGTAGGTCAATTTTCATTCACAAGTTTGTTAGGCTAGTCGACTTTCCTGAAGGGTAGGGGCGTGTTCCGCTCTGTTGTTTGGTTTCTGCGATGTCTAGGATTTAGGTTTTCATTCCCAGAAAGAGCATGTCTGTGACAAAGATTGCATCACTCTCTATGGGGGTTGGGTTGGACCCAGTTTCTATATGTTTTTGGAGTGTTAAACGCGCTGGCGTACTGAAATATACAACACGCGATATCAACGGCATTGCTAAACAACCATGTAACCGTGTCCGAAGGTCACAGGCTTAGGAATTGTCAATCAGAATTGATCTATTGTGTAAATGGGCTGGGACTAGATAGACTAACGTTGAATTAACTAAAAACATAAACAAATACTTAAAACAAAAGCGGTTGTAGAGGTAAGGGATGGGAAAATCAATTACCTTCTTTCAAATTTTTAATGGCCTGGGAATCCCCTTGCAACCCCCCCCCCCCGCCTCCCCCAACCTCTCACGTCATAGTTATTGGGGGCGGTACAGTTTCTTCTATGTCTTCAGCATTCCGAACCCCTGTTGCTCATTGCTGCAGATATCACCTGCCTCTACTCATCTTTCTGGTTGGCCTTCTCTTTCCAGTTGGTGAAACCAAGTGCTCATAGGTATGTTTGGACATTATCTTTCCATAATCTTCTTGGTCTGCCTCGTGGTCTACAATAATTCAGCTCCCTTATGTAAACAGTTTTTGGGTTCTCTCAATATGCCATGCCCACTTCAGTCTATTAGGGAGCAGCCGTGGTCTAACCGCTAGACGATCGCCATTGGATATGAAGATCTTGTGTTTGCTCCCTGCCGGGAGCCGGATTTATTTTTAAAATGACCTTGGCTCCCAGATCGACCCACCATTGAGTGGATACTAGGTACAGTCCTGAGAAGCAAAGGCGGCCGGTGTGATGCTGAACTCATCACCCACCAAGTGCCGATGGGCTATACGATACAGGTCTAGCTCTATATACGCATTACGTCTAAAGGTGTGGAGAAGGGTCCTTTACTTTTTTTTACATTCTATTAGCTATTATTATGCCAGTGATCAACGGTGATTTAAACACATTATTATTTCGGTACAACTTTAAGGTACACAATACTGAAGCACCCATTTAACAGTAAACTGGTACTCATCATTACCAACATAGGAGTGCAGGTTACACCTCACTGGTGGAGATGTTACGGGTGCCATAATTATAACATTTTTTTGGACGTTGAACAGTGGTATCTGAGTTCAGCCACTCATTGGTCTGCCATCCAGACTAGAATTTGTAATTTCGTGAAGATATGATTAACATTTAGGTAGCAGCCCGGAGGTGGCACACATATCGATCAATCGTATACAAATTATATGGGAACCCCGTCGGGTACCCAGGAAACCATAAGTCCGCACCGGACAGGAAATAGATCATGTTAACATACATAATAACATAACCCTTGGCCGGTTAGGATCGTGGAAGTGTATTGATAGAAGCACTAGAATATAAACTAGTGCTGAACGGTCTGTCAAAGTATGGGTGTTCTTCTTATATGACTAATGCGCCTAAAGGTGTGAGAAGAAATCTTTACTTTTTACTTTTACTAGCACATAAAACCCGCCAACCCGCTATTGTTTGTCTTCAACTCGATGAATAAGTGTCTGATAACTTTTTTTTTCTTCTCTCCTCCCGGGGAAACCACCCGGTCCCGAGTTTGAATGGCAGTTCCCGGAATTCGTGACGGATCCCGGCGCTTCTGGCCAGACCAAGTCAAGCAGAGCTACACCTTAATCTTAGCCAAAAGGCTGAGGACGGTAACTTAGTCCTGTCCATTTCTTGGGATTGCTTTTCCAAGTTCTCCTTTGATAATCTTAATAATACACAAATGAATATATTCAAATGTACCTTTTCCCGTGTGGGTTCCGGAGCCCTATTGTGGGGAACAACAAGAGTATACCCACTTCCTCCCCAACAAGCATGCCAAAAGAGTAGAAAAGCTAGATATATCCTTCGAAGTCGGAATGCATCTGCCTGAGAAGCAAGGAAGCAACAGTCTGCATACAAATAAGTAGGATCTGTAAAACAGATGTGCACGCAACACTCAGGTTGTGAAACAATTCTAAAATACAGAGGTGGATGAATAACCGGAACTTTCCCCTGGGGTTTACAGATGGGAATCGCGAAAAAGAAGAAGCGGAAGAAATGACCCCTGAGAGAATATTAACAACATAATTCCCACCCTCGGTATAAACAATTCCAACATACATTGAACTCTGTCTCCGTTATATTCTTGTTTCCTTGCTGAAGAAGAAATTTCAATTCTGCAACACTCAAGTACCCATTGCCGTCTTTGTCAGCCTTCTTAAACAGTTGCTCCATTTCGTTGTTTGATAACTTCTGAGCTGCCATTTTGTTTTATGTGTGATATTCTTTGACCTATGCTGAGAAGCAAGAAAGAGAAATACGTGAGAAATCATTAACTAGTGTTAGATATAAACATCTTTTTGTATTCCTAATTTCGAGACAATATTTTCTTGTTGCAAATTTAAATAACGCCTTCATGTTTGTTTTGTTTGTTTTAGTATCCAGAAGTCATGAGTTGTTAACCCTTAGGCTCGGTATTATGGACATCGCAACCCTTCGGCCTTGATTCCATTGTAAATACCGTAAATCTGGGAGAAATGTGGCTTTCCTGCCTACCCCCGCGATTGAACCAGGACCACACAAGGAGCTCGTTACCCGGTCTCCGCGCAATCCTGTTTAGCCAACTACGCCAGAGAGCCGGACAATAACGCCTACATAAACAATACGTTGCACAATTTATGACCTGGCAATTTTTATGAGGGGACAGCCGTTGTGTAGTGGCTAGACGCTGGCCTTCGGATCGGAAGGTCGTTGGTTTAGGTTCAGACAGTACTGGACTTTTTTTTTTCAAGGATTTTGGCACAAAAGTATACGGGTGAAGGTTAACAGTTGAAGGACACTATATGATTTTTTGGTTTCCACTTCAACGGGCACTCAGACTTTCAGTAATAAATATGCAGTTTTGACCCCCACACCTCCGTAATCGTAGCACATGTTAAATGCAAAGTTTGTTCAGCATTCAAAAAAAAAAAAAACCTCAATTTTTAATAGGTGTTTTAAGCAGGTTCAACCATAGACGCAGGCAAGCGTAAAAGCAGTGTACTTTGCTTGTGCTTCTCACATTAAAATATTAGGCTCTAGTTGTGTGATACATACGGACTGAGTCGTGGACTTTCTCCCAGTCCTTAAGAAAGACAACAGGGGCGTTTTCGCTGAGATGCTATAGAAAGATTCTCAGAATATCTTGGGCAAAGAAGAGAGAAATAATGACATCTCAAAAGATCTGAACATCAAAGAAGATTGGCTAATAAACAGCATCCTAACTCGGAAGCTGAAATATTTTGGTAATATCAAGTGCCATGACGGATTGGAAATAATTATAGCAGAAGGCATCGTACCAGGAAGGAGCGGCAGGGGCCGACCGACACGAAGATAGGCACAGATTATAAGTGACTCCTTGAGTATGAAAGTACATGAGGCGGTAGAACTGGCGAAATACCGAGTTTCTTGAAAGCAAACTGTGATGAGAGCGACGTTCTGCAAAGGACCTGCTATATGATGATGACTGACTGATGTGTGATAGAAATGCTTTACTGACGGAAGAAGAAGAAGAAGAAATAGAAAAAAAAGAAGAAGGAAGGAAAAAAGAAGAAGAGGAGAAAAAGAGAAGAAAAGAAGAAGAAGAAGAAGAAGAAGAGACAGAAGGAAGAAGAAGAAGAAGAAGAAAGAAGAAGAAGAAGAAGAAGAAGAAGAAGAAGAAGAAGAAGGAAGAAGAAGAAGAAGAGAAGAGGAGGAGGAAAGGAGAAGAAAAAAAAGAAAAAGAAGAAGAAAAACGAAAAAAAAAAAGAAAAGAAGAAAAAGAAGAAGAAGGAAGAAGAAGAAGAAGAAGAAGAAGAAGAAAGAAGAAGAAGAAGAAGAGAAGAAGAAGAGGAAGACGTAGAGGAAGAAGATGAAGGAAGAAGATGAAGAAGAAGAAATAAGAAGAAGAAGAAGAAGAAGAAGAAAGAAGAGAAGAAGAAGAAGAAGAAGAAGAAGAAGAAGGAAGAAGGAAGATTTAGAAGAAGAAGAAGAAGAAGAAGGAGGAAGAAAAGAAGAAGAAGAAGATGAAGAAGAAGAAGAAGAAGAAGGAAGAGGAGGAGGAAAAGAAGAAGAAAAAAAAAGAAAAAAAAAAAGAAGAAAAAGAAGAAGAAAAAGAAGAGGAAGAAGAGAAAAAGAAGAAGAAGAGAGAAGAAGAAGAAGAAGAAAGAAGAAGAGAAGAAGAAGAAGAAGGGAAAAGAAGAAGAAGAAGAAGAAGAAGAAGCAGGGAGAAGAAGAAGAAGAAGAAGAAGAAAGAAGAAGAAGAAGAGGAAGAAGAGGAGGACGGAGAAGATGAAGATGAAGAAGAAGAAGAAGAAGAGAGAAGAAGAAGAAGAAGAAGAAGAAGAAGAAGAAGAAGAAGAAGAAGAGAAGGAAGAAGAAGAAGAAGAAGAAGAAGAAGAAGAAGAAGAAGAAGTAAGAAGAAGAAGAAGAAGAAGAAAGAAGAAGAAGAAGAAGAAGAGAAGAAGAAGAAGAAGAAGAAGAAGAAGAAGGAGAAGAAGAAGATCGAAGAAGGAAGAAGAAGAGGAGAAGAAGAAGAAAGAAGAAGAAGAAGAAGAAGAAGAAGAAGAAGAAGAAGAAGAGGAAGAAGAAGAAGAAGAAGAAGAAGAAGAAGAAGAAGAAGAAGACGAAGAAGAAAAAGTAAGAAGAAGTCAGAAGAAGAAGAAGATGAGAAGAAGAAGAAGAAGAAGAAGAAGAAGAAGAAGAAGGAAGACGAGAAGAAGAAGAAAAAGAAGAAGAAGAAGAAGAAGAAAAAGAAGAAGAAGAAGAAAGAAGAAGAAGAAGAGAAGAAGAAGAAAGAAGAAGAAGAAGAAAGAAGAAGAAGAAGAAGAAAAAGATACGCACAACTGGAATTAGTAAATGATATCCTTATGTAGCTATGTGGATTAGATGGGTTTGGGCTGACAAACTGTACTAGGCCGAAGGGGGCCCTTAGTAACAAGGAAGAGGAAAAAAATAGAGAAAAAGAGAGAGTTAGAGAGAGAGAGAGAGAGAGAGAGGAGAGAGAGATGAGGAGAGACGGAGAGGGAGGAGAGAGAGAGAGAGAGATTGGAGAGATTCGAGAGAGAGAGGAGAGAGAGAGAGAGAGTTCGTGTTTGGTGGGGAAGAGATCAGAATATCTCACAAAGGCAAGAAATCTTTTGTGTAAAGTCTAGAATAGCCTAAGCAATAACGAATAACTAAACTAGTAAACTAACTAGAAGTCCTAAATCAAAAGAAAACAACTGTAACTATGAAATAACAACGTTGAACATAATTTTATTTTACTTATCAGCGTGGCAAACAAATAACGACATTTAACTACCAAAACTACGTAGCCCCGAATAGCATCTCAAAATATAGCGATCCAACCATCTTTTAGCAAGAATACAAATAAAAATCTATTTAAAACTAGCCAACTGAACGTACAATGAGCCGAGCATTGTCTAGCGCCGCCCAGCCATTCCGATCTGACACACCTGTGCATTGCGACCAAGTGCAAGTCGACAATGACAACAGGGCGCTTCGACCGTAACAAGCCAGAGCGACCACCAGATAGGAGAGGCCAAATAAAAATCAGTCGGCCGTTTAAATCACCTCTGTGGCCAGATGTTTTTCCCATCTTCTGCAGTCTACTCTTTTAGTGTTTCCAGGACCATTTGTCATTTTCAGGCCAGAATAAATCTAAGATCTTAATTGTTGCAATGTAGTCTTCGTCGCTCGCTCCACCCTATTACTACAAAAACTATATATTATTGACAAGAAACCTTTCTTGTTGCTTTTGGAAAATGGTACAAGAATCGCACCACAAAAGTATCGTTCATTACGGAGACTTCATAAAATTTAAAACAGCAATAATTGCTGACTAGAGGGCGTCACAAAATATGCAGAATACAAATTTACTGACATAGTTTCTAGACTCCTTTCGAAAGAAAAATCTATTGAGATGTCAACAACATCACGACAACGGATACTTTTGGTTTGATTTTGCTTGGAAGAAAGTGGGGGGGGGGGAGGGGCGTTATATTTAACCAGCATATCCGAAAAAAAGAGCCTTTGGTTATAACTATGACTGATTATTGCCCCCACATAGTAAGGTTTCAGACACTGATCGCCCCTAAGGAGCCTGAAACTCTTGCAGTGTGATGCAATTTAAAGAGACAGACCACAAATAATATCACGTCTAGCAACAAAAGTCGTCCGTCTACCGTGAGTCAATGGCGTAAACGTCTACTTTTGATTTTCGTTCGCTTTTATTTCAATAAAGTCACGGTTTCAATTTCTGACTAGGGAGGACTCTGTGTCTCTGTCCATGTCATTATCGGTTATGGCAGAAATATTGTGTTGCTATGTCACTGCCTAATGTTTAGGTGCTTTATTTATGTCTTCAGGTTGTCTATCTCTGAATGGTTCTGCCTGAAACCAAGTTAGAGAGTTTAAATATCTAGGAAAGCATGATCACGAAGATGAGAATTGACAGAGAAAAAGAAACCACGATGATGCCAGAAAGCAAGTGCAATTATATACCAATCTGTCCATATTAAGAATCCAAGCTATAACTATGATGTGCAAAGAGACAGATTATTAATAGAATATTTATTCCAACATCTAAGCTACCAGGACAACCTGGACACAATCTAAATGTGATCCATATACGCACAAAATTTACCACCTGCGAAATGGAGGTGTCTGAGAAAAGCAGCCAACCTAACCACCCGAGGAGACGAGTCAATAATGAAAGACAGGCAAACATTGTTGGACAACACCTTGTACTAGAATTAATCGCGAAACAGCATGATCAAGTGGTTTGGCCATCTCGTTAGAATGCAGCAAAATCAACATACCATCACAAGCACTACATCTTCGAAGATCAACTACAAGACAAGAGGACGGCCCGGGAAAAAATAGA